CGGACATCGCGGCGGCGTCCTCTGCGGAGCAGGCGAACACAATTGGGCTGGAGCGGGTCAGATGCTCGTATTTTTAGAGAGGAGCCGCGCGGTGATTGGTGCGTTGCAGAGCCCGCCCCGCTGCACGGCCGGGGAGCCCTTCGGTGTGCTCGATTTGTGTTTCTTTGGACTAACAAAAGTGTATTTTCCTCGGAATTTCTGCCACCAAATCGCCCCATTTCCCCGGTGAGGGAGGAGAAGAGCAGGTACTTGCGTTCGGGAGAGTTTCCAGCCGTAAACACGCGGACTGAGTTAAAGGAGAAGCGATAAATCCCGTGTGCTGCTGCTGGAGAGACCTCTGAAGAGAGAAACTTTTGTTTTTCCTTGCAAATTAAAAACTTCCTTTTGATATAAATGTTACAGCAACAACTCAGACTGATTCTTTAGAGGGTTTTCTTGGGGTCAAAGTTGAAATCTGCCGATTTTAAGCTATTTTGACAGTTTAAATTGATTTTGAAGAGGAGGAAGTAACACAAATTTAGAGGGTCTTGGGGTCAAAGTTGAAATCTGCCGATTTTAAGCTATTTTGACAGTTTAAATTGATTTTGAAGAGGAGGAAGTAACACAAACTCCTCTTTCAGCTCTGAATATGGATTAAGAACCGGTTCCTTTGACCATGTGTTTTACCTCCTAAAACGCTAAAGTCTAGTGAAATAGTGTCTCGTACAACCTCCTATTGCACTTTTTATAGAGCCATAAGCAATTTGTTAATATCTGGAGATTTATGTACGTACAGTTCTTTTATTTTGTCTTCCTGGAATTTCAGTAGAAGGGAGGCAAACTTACCCTGCTACCTTGTGTTGGGTGCTTTCTTTCTTTTGTTTGTTTTCCGTATGAATTTCTGTACCAATTATTAAGTAAATTAAGCTATTTGCTTTTCATGTTGCATGTCACCTTTCAAGGAAACCATCATTCGATACCTGATGTTACAAAACGGCAGCTTTGTAAAAGAAAGCAAGCTCCTAAACTTCTGGTGATATTTACTGAAATTATCTTTGTCTCTCTAGTAATTTAAGATGTGCAAGGGCTAGTGTAGCAGTTTAGTAGTTATGCTTTTCCTGCCCAGAGAGTATTATCTTGTTATGTATTTTCTCTAATAGTAGTAGAATTTAAAACCATACTACTGCTTGTGGTTTTTTTTAACACATCTCACACAGTATGTCTACGCAAAGATTCATCTAAAGCCAATTCTGAATCCTCTTCCCACTCTAAGTAAAACCCACCTAATTCTTCCTTATGCATTTGATAGCCATCACTGAAATGAGGAAATGCTTTCAGGGCAAAAAATAAAGCCCTTTGTGATAACCTGAGTTTTAACAAGGGGAGAGGTAGGCCATAGGTCGTTCCTAAAGAACCAGGAAGAATTCAATCAATATTGGTATCTGGTTGAAGATGATGTAATATGCTGCACAGAACAGAGCTCTGGAATAATATTTCATGAATCTGCACCTGATTATAAACAAGTGTATTATCCATTGCCTTTTGTAGTTATTTAAGGATCACAAAGACTATGCTTCAGCCCTGCCCTCTGATTTCCTTTGATATAACCAGATATAACATATAATGTAAACACAGTACTTAATTAGCAACCAAACTTTCAGATTGCATGAATAGGTAGTTTTAGGTAAGTGTAATCCTGTTTCCACCTCATTGTTTCATTTACAATGGCTGTTTTGTAAATACTAAATGTGTATATAAAATGAAAACATTTTAGTTTGCTGTAAAATTGTGTTTTAGTGAATATGAAACTATGAATAAATGCAATGAAGGGAAAAATTGCAACCTGCACCCTAGAAGAAAAAAAAAAACAGATAAAAGGTTGCACGAAAAGTGTATCTGAGCTCTGTAACGCTTCAACAGGAATTGAGAGAAGGGCTAATCAAATTGGGACTTTCAGGGTCTTGTTTGTAAAAGTTATGCAACATAAAATAAGGATACAGGAATGAAATAAATTGGAGTGGATGTGGGTATTGAAGATATACCTTCACAAATTACCAAAATTGAAGTAAAATAAATATGTTTTTTAAGTCTATATGCTATATGTGTTTGTAAATCAATGAATGAGACTTTCCATTGACTTGACTACATGGTGAAATAAAGTAGCAGCGCTGGGAGCAGATGACATTTAGCAGCTACCAAGACACTTCATAGGACATAGACAGAGGAAAAGCGTAGACTATGAATGACATGTCAGCAAAATGAAAACTCATGTTGCCTACTCTTGTTATTTTGAACTCATACACATTTACTTTGGTAACCTTCACTGGAGGAGATTTAAGTACTCCAGCCCTCAGTTGTGGCTTCACAGAGAGTTGATTCACATTTATTGGTGGCCGAAATTGGGGTGGCTAAAATGGTGACCATCCCAGTTGTCTGCCTGGCTTTTCTCCCAGCAGTTGCTACCCTCTCCCCGTTCCAACAGGGATAGCTAATAATATGTGTAGCAGCTTCCGATCTCCGACAGTTACGGTCTACTATCTTAAAATAAACTTCAGAAATTTCATGACACAGGGAGAAGCTCTGATCTTTCTTTTTTAATGGCTTCGCAGGAAAGACATAAAATAACTTTAGCAATGTAGAATTGCTGCTTGGAACACGTGTTCTTCTCTACATGAAAGAAATACATTCAGCAACAAAATTTTGGAAAATTAAGGTG